TTTTGAAAACAAACAAGAATGTTAACAATGAATAATAAAAATGATAAATCAGCCCCTAACACAATTAGTATTTACACTGTAACAAGATTTTGTATAGTATGATTTTTTAGTTAATGTATTTCCAAGTTATTTTCTTTGAATTTTTTTGCAGTATTTAAAGGAAAAACTATTGTACCTTATTAAAATAAAACAGTATATGTATAATAATGGCTGGAGACGGCTTAAATAGGTAATGAAGAAAAACTTTAATATAACTTTAACATGACAGCAAATGTACCTGATGATGACAAAACCTTGTCGAAACGTTGTACATTTGCTGTCATGTTAAACTTATATTAAAGTTTTTCTTCATTACCCATTTAAGCCGTCTCCAGCCATTATTAGTCTCAAAGTGGGTTCCTCGTCATCGAAACTGTATATGTATGTTTTCTTATAGCAAAGCCACATCGGGTTATCTGCTGTGTCCACCGAGGAGGATCAAACCACTGATTTTTAGCATTGTAAATCCGAAGACTTATCCCTGTACCACCGGGAACATTAAAATAGAAGAGGTATATATATTTACTTATCTAAATAGGTTAATGGTACGATGAGTAAAGCAATTGTATGAGTCCCAAAAATGCGGATATATAGTTGTATCATAGTTCGTCGGCAAAACAATAGGTAACAGCAACGTTTTTTTTTTCAATCTTTAAAAGGACGTAATAGTGTGCGCTATTTAGGAAGCATCATTATCAAAGACCGTTTATTTCACTGGCAGATCATATACTTCTGTTATTAGAGTGTGTGAACACTGGAAGCTGGAAAGGGATATATTTTGCCATCAGGAAAACCTGAGCTATCAACCCTTGGTGACAAAATGACTGGTCAAAAATAATTTTTAATTATTTCACAACAAAAAGAATATTTACTATGTTTGTAATAGGTATAAAAAAAGTATTGGAAGCCATTGCACTGTTAGATACACGTGAGTTCTCTTTAGATCAAATATACAGGTGTTAGGTATAACACCCGTGGCGCCACTACTGAAATCTCAAAGGCGAAGGGACATACTAAAAACCAGACATCCAGCTGGCCCCGTACAGAAACGAAACAATAAACGCTGGGAAGAAAGCCTGGGGTATCACCATAATTTTAATTAAAGTATGGAATCCTAGACACCTACTAGACAGCTCAAAAATTTGCGGAAAGGCCTCAGGACAGGAGAGGAGGGGGGCTAGAATTAAACGGAACAAAGAGGCCAGGAAAAATGTGAAGAGTACTTAGATGTAGAATTAAACAACTCGCGCGATTCACAAGTTATTAATTTCAATGCTGTTTTTGATAGTCAGTATTAAATATAGCAACAGTATGTATACAGCCAAATCTGTGTAGTATTAAATTATCTAACGTTTCAAAATAAGCAACAAACATATGTTTACCATTCTAAGGACGAAATAAGCAATATTTAAAAACATAACTATAAAAGAAAAAGCCAAAAACATTTATTTAAAATTTCCTATCGTTAACTACAACATCCTCATAAGAATATTCATAAATAATATGTATACCCATAAGGAGACTGACTTTGAACTTAAAAACTGTATCAACGCAGAATGAATTTTTAATGTAAATTTTCAATGTAACAATATATATTTATATAAGTGTAACGTTCTCATTGGGTCCTCTTTCCTGCTAATTGGCTGTTTATCAAAATACCCTAAAATTATTTCAATTATTAACACAGATAAAGAAAATGTCCATTCACTTTAAACTACTCAAATCCACAATCCTATGAAACCATTAAAATGACTTCAATAACATTATCACCTGGAAAGTGAACCTACTTTTACAAACTACTTAACTCAACCTATATATGGAAACAATATCTAAAGTGGATCATTCGCTTCCTATATTGAAAATGTGAATACTATAAGTAATTTGAAAGGTTTACGACTAAGTCCTGTTTTGAAACAAGTAGTTTATGAATATATTTATTTAAAAGTCCTATGTGTAATTTTAATTTTATAAACCTATATCGTATTACTTTTATGTTGTATCGCCGAAGTACAACTTCCTTAGATCCACTTGTAGATCAAAGGCGCCTACCTCTTCACTCACAAAATGGAATAATCAAATCTTCTCTCGTACTTCAAATTCCCGAAATACAATAGCATAGAATACGAAACTGTTGCGGATTATTTTTCATCGCTTTCTTGACCGAGTTTGTATGTTTAGGATTAACAAAGAACACAGAAATAATTGTATGTAGTTTAAAAAACAACAGAATAATGCAAGTTTTGTTGCTATAAGCATTTAATTCGTATCTCACAACAACAGATGACAACTCGCGTTAGGCAACATTTAGTATTATAGTTTTGTTGCTGGTTTTTTTTTTAGCGCAAAGCTACACTATCTTTGCGGACATCGAACACAAATTTTTGCGTTACATTTGCTCCAAGTTTATAGTTAGGCAGGGTGGGGGAAGCAATGTAGTGCTTGCATTTTTTTCCTGTTGGTCAATGCTCACACTTTCACAAAATTCGTTGTTAAGCAACCCATATCTGTTTATGTGTTTGTTAAATAACGTTTTAAGATGCTGTTTACCTTACCTAAATGCTATATAACGTTTTTGTTTTATCGGATTAATTTATCTTCGTAATATGTACGTTAAAAAACTTGTTTGTTGTTAAACACGAAGCTACTCATTGTGTCTGTCCCCACAACGGGTATCGAAACCCTATTTTTAGGGTTATAAGCCCTAAAACTTAACGTTGAACTACTGGGGGGATAATATGATGAATCTTAATAAGAACATAGCTAGTAGGTCGTTAAATATTTTTCTTGATACTCACATATAATTTTGCCTACGGAAAACAGTAATGAATAGTTTAATATTTTCTTTATGACCCGCGTTCATCTCTCTATAGTTTTATGGGTCTGTCTAACGCGTTTACTCCCCTCATCCCCCGAAGCTTTTCTACAAATGTTTGCGACATTACATATTGATGTATTAAAATTAATTAATACTTTAGTGGCAGCTCGGGCTCTGTTCCCAGCCCAGTGTTTAGTCTATCAGTGTTCCAGTCCATCCCAGTTTCGATGTTTTGTACGTCCCGACGACGATTATCGTGTTAAAAGTTTACTTCGAAAGAAGTAATGTTGTAATGGAAAACAGTTTATCTGTTTAGGATAATAGCATTACAACAACGTTTTTATAATTGCTTACACATAGTGCCTAGAAATTGTCATAATGAAACTGTTTTTTCAGAGATGTTTTAGTGGAACTTTATACAGAATAGATATAGTAGGTACAACAACTGCCCGTTGAAAGAAAAGGAGACGAAATTTTGACTTCTATGCTGAGGCTTTCTTCAGGGGTATTTAAAAATAAATTTTAATAAGTTCGTTAATACAGTTTCCAGACACCCCGTGTTTTGGATATTTAAAATAAGTACTAATCTACAATGTAAAACAGCGGGCTGGATTAACCTCTTAGTTCCTTTAGGTACAGTTTTTAAGAGAAGGAAACAGTAAAGTGAAAATATAAGTAAAATGATCCACACCTGTAAGGTGTTGTGTTCTAAAAGAGGTCAAATATATGACATTTACATTCATTATCTACCTAATTTGTTTTTGAAGTTTTAGTATGATCAGTAATTATTTTGTTAGAAACACCTCGTGGTGACGACACTGTCCTAATTAGAACCAACAGAGTGAGAAAACAAACAGCGAGACCACTGTCATTAGAATATATCATGGACTCATTAAACATGGATATGCTATAACTGTGTTCTGGCCAAAGAATCTTTGAACGTTTTGGTCTCAGTCTAAGCTACAATAATCACAAGTGCATCTCACACATTTGTTCTTTGTTCATTTTTCTCTTTCCCTTTCCTCATGAAAAATCGCTTCACCTACATTTCGTTCAATGATTTTGTATTTTCAAATACCAACCACTTCAAAGTTGCATTTATTTATTTATTAATAATGTTTACGCTGATTGAGAACAAGTTCAGTTTATTTGGTTATTATTTTTGATATTGAATTAAGTTATTATTCTGTTAAATTTTAATGGAATCCCTTAGGACAGAGTTTAATAATAATTATTCGACGTTTTGACAGACACGTGGGATATCATGGTGGCTGGTATTGATACTTTTCAGCTCTAAAAGAGGCTAGTTGGTTTCAATAATGAAAATATTTTTGTAGAATCTAAGAGTGGTATAAACTGATATAAGGTTGCACTCAATTCTTTATTTTCTATGTATTTCATAAATTATTCTGCATCTAATTTTCTTTGGAAAATAAAATCAATATATCAAATTTTCCAAACTGAAATAGTATTGATGCCATTCTAAAATCAAAACGTAAATTTTGGCTACCATGGATTCTTTACCTTTACATGTTAAATAACTAATCCAGTATAAATATATATATATGTGTGTGTGTGTATAATTATTTATTCATTTATCTATTTTTGAAACATATGATACTTATCACCTAATGACATTTCAGAACTTGATTAGTGTCAGGACTGTCTAAAGCAATGAGAACTGCGAGCAACACGTTTTCTCCCATATACCACGTCAACGCCCATTTAATTAAGCTATTTTCTTATTTTTCTAGATCGTTTCAAAATCAGATTAAATGGGTATTATTTACATATGTGTGTATGTAGTAAAATAAACTTTTGTAACGAACTTGTAAATACACATAGTTTATTATGTTACTACGTACCCTACTTATATAGTAACAATTACAAGTTTACTACAAATCTAAAACTGGGGACGGGGAGAAGTTATTTTCTGAAAACATTATAATAGTACATTAATAGTGAGAGAAGTCATTGTAGTCCTTATAATGTATTTGCTCATAAAGGTTCAATTGTTTTTTTTTTCCTTATTTTATTTTACAGAGCTAGTACGAATATACAAAAAGTCTTTCTGGGTACAAACTGACTAGTATAAAGATCTGTTCATAGTCAAAATCTTTTTCAAAGCAATGGAGAGTGAAGACGTTTAAATGTTGTTGATGTACTGAAGAATCCATGACCGGTAACTTGCAACTTCCGTATAAAGACCCGGAAGAAACTCTCGAGCACAGCCGATTCCTGCTGAAACCACTCCGATCACGATAAACTTGTTATTTTCTTTCATAAACAGGGGGCCACCAGAATCTCCCTACAAAGAAACCAAACATAAGTGTTTCTAAATTACCTAGTTTTAGTTTATTATCAGTTATATAACTTGTACAAGTGTATCGAGCCTAAGAGAGTATTTTTATTGAATGACCAGTTCTTTCATTTTATACATATGCGTTTCTGTATGTGTAAATATACCAAGCAGAAGTGTCGTTACATTGATGTGATTGTGCTGTGAATTCTTCTATGCGTCGTTTCTAGAGGGTATGTTTTTGTACTGACTACTTCTTCTCTCGTTTGCTTCCAAATGTCGATAACGATCTTAAAAATAATACAGTAAACGAACTCGAATTTTCATCATCCGGTATAAAAAATTAAACTTTTTATTTTATTTTATTTTTGCCACTCAAAGTATAAGATAATTTTAAGCGTAAGGCTAAATGGAATCAAATTGCTTATTCTAGAAAAAGCTGTCGTTTAATCAAAGCAAATGTATAAAATTACAAAATTTATTAGAGCATATTACATTGTTCCTTAGGCAGAAAGTTTCTTGCATGTATATAGTGTATTTCCCTGTGCATTTCAATTATTAAGAAGCTTACTGTGGATTTAGTTTAATCCTTTAGAAAATTAAATTTACTATGAGCCAAACCAATATTACGGGAGTGGCTCATGTAACAGGATTTATTACATGAAAATGACTATAAACCTTATTTCACTAGTAATGCATGTAATATGCTCCTATAAAACGTATATCGCTGATGAAGATACCTATAGAAACTTATTTGAAAATACTTTAAAATAATAAAAATGATGGCACCATAAAAATTTCGTAAGATATTTCAAAGTTACGAAAAAGTAACAGTATATATTAAAGAAATATAGTTTAAAAACATATTTCAAGAATTATAAAAAATAAGGAAACATGAAATAATAATATCAAACTATGGGGGTGAAAACACACCCTAAATTAGCATTAACACTCCAATACTAAGTCCTAAAGCGTATGGGCTTAATATCATATTGAATTTGAATTAATATTAATAAACCAACCAGACAAGCATCTTTTCCTCCATATTAAATTTGAATTACTATTAATAAACCAACCAGACAAGCATCTTTTCCTCCATATTAAATTTGAATTACTATTAATAAACCAACCAGACAAGCATCTTTTCCTCCATATTCATAACCGGCACACATTTGTCCTCTTTGAAAAAATACTATTTTCTGTGCCTTTCTGTACCAGCTCTGACACTGAAGGTAGTCTATTACTGGCACTTTGGCTTTCTGAAGTATGTCTCCACGTCTTCTACCTGTTGAAGAATCGTTCCTTTTTCTTTACTATTTATAACGATGAATACTTTTATTTCTGCAAAATGTATATTTCAAATAAAGTTATTTTTCTAAATCTAAAACCAAAAGTGAACTCTAAGGAGATAAAGAAAAATACCTGAAAATAATGTGCTTTAAACTCAATGAAATGGACGTTATTAGATTTTACGCTAACCATCAAAAGTTTGGTTAAAATTAGTTGTTGGATGAAATATTTAATAGATGTAGCTCTTTCCGTTCTTAAGTGTTCCAACTCTCAAAATAAAATTTGACAAAGGGTCCACTATTTAGCGCATTTTGTCTGTGTAATTAGAATGTTTAAAAGCCAGAATAAATATCCTAGCCACTTTTTTCAAAGCTAACAACTACTCCTGAAAAATATCTCAATTAATTGTCACGGCAGATCAATTAGAACAGACTCAATTAGTAAAACTACATTAAGACTTTTTTGTGCTCTAAACTCGTGTTTTTTGTAATAATACTTTAACACATCGCCATAATAACTAAAAATACAGTGTAATTTCAACCATGAGCGTGTTATAAAAGTGTGTGTGACAGTCAGTCTCATTATTCTGTTTAAAGAGGACAATTTATTGTGACGGTTGGTAGTGCTATAATCAGAAGTTCAAAATTATGGACGGCTATGTCTAATCCCGATTGGTCTTTTATCTCGTAATCTAACCCTAGTTTGCGTATAATTTGCCGTTCAAGACATCATTGAAAATACGAATTCCTAAACTTAGTATTGCCCTCAGTGTCACAGTGTCACTTCGAACTTATACTGCTAGAACACTAGGTGCGATACTAGAGCACAGATAGCCCATTCTGTAGCATTGTGCTTAACTACAAAAAAACAAACTTAGTATTCTGATTCAGTGCAGATGTCGCGCTCGAATTTGAAGATTTTTTATATTTGAAAGTACCTATTTTACAAAATTTTGGACAAATAAAATGTATGTAGAACTGCCTAGAACTTGGCATGAACCATGTGTCAAGGTTATATGGCAAATGCGTGTTAACTAAAATACATAGCTGTGTAAATACGTTTTTTTTTTCATTACCTTTTATTATTGTTCCCCGCGTTACTATCTTTGTTGCTTTTTTCTTAGGACATTCTTCTTTCTATAACGTCTGTAGTTTTTCTCGTTTCTTACAGTTTTACTTTCTCATATAGTTTTCTCTGTATATAGTCTTTTGGAGTAAATAAAAACCCCAGGGTGCCACAAACATCATAATCTTCTCCTCAAGAGTGCAGAATATCAACCAGGGTAGATAATGAGGAAAGTTTTATTGTTACTTTTATTATTAAGCTGGAGGAAAAAACACGTTTTTTGTGTGACAGTAATTCTTATCTAGATACCTTGAATTTTATTGTAGTGTTTCAATATACGTGGCCATGACAAGGCTGGAAAAAAATTCAAGGTAAAGTTCCATTTTACATTTTTCGGATATAATAAGCTTAAACCAAAACATATATAGTTTTTATTATACTGCTCACATAGGTATATAGGCATTCTGGGGACATAAAAGCCAACTATTAGTTTATTCATAACCCTCGGTGGTCTGGCTGTAGTATTTGTTTCATTTTTATAATTTCAATTTTAATTGTCATAAGATATTAGGATTAGACCTATTACATTTTTAAACACTACATTTTTAATTATTGATTAAAAATGCAATGTTTAAAATTTTAATAGGCCTAATCCTAGTGTCTTATGACTAGTAAAATTGTAATCAATCTTTGCCGGGTTGTAAAAGGCGTACACACCATGAAAACTGTTATTGTAGCAAATGACTTATAGTAATTAGTGTTCCGACCGCTACTGTGAGTGTTTTCGTCTCAGCAGGCCTGAAGAGCTCTGGATTGAGCGAAACGCGTCGTTGGCAATGGATATGATAAATATCGAGTAGTTCGAATATTATTATTATACACTCATCTACTTCTTGAAAATTCCTAAGGGATAGATTAATAACGCAATGATTTAAAATTTCATAGGCCTAATCCTAATGTCTTATGACAAGTAAAATTGTAATCACCCTTCGGCGGCTTGTAAAAGGCATAAACACTATAACAACTGTTGTTATAATTCTAATTTGTTTGGAACAACTACCTTCCCACAACTAGCAGAAATTGGTAATTAGAGGCTCAATTTAACAAACGGTGTAAGCCGACAGCTTATTAAGGTATAAATTCCATCCTTACCTCACCTACCCATCTTTTCTATGAAGCTTTTCGTTTGTTTGGTATGTTGTGTGGAAGTTATTTTGTATATTCATTGATAAAAATTACATAACAGTTACGTTGCTTTTAACATTTAAAAGAAATAGAGGATACCAACAATATCTCTTAACTTTAACATACCTTTCTTCTTTATGGTCAATAAAACTTAATATGTCTGGTAAAAAAAAAAAATACTACTGCTTTAAAATTCAAGTTTGTTTGTTTCTTTTTAAGCACAAAGCTATATGTGCTGGGCCTACCATTAGTATCGAAACTCGGTTTTAGCGGTGTGAGCCTTAGACTTGCCGCTAAGTCATTTGGGTTATCTGCTATATCCATCGAGTGGAATCGAACCCTGAAATTTAGCACAGTAAGTCGTAAGTCAATAAACTTACAGCTGATCCACCGAAGGGAAAAGAATTAAAATGAAAGCAAAATTTAAAATCAAATAATATACATGTATACATTTATTGCCTAAGTTTTATCATTATTTCGTTCCAAAGCGTTGAGCTTGAAGTATCTTCGCGTTTTAGAAAAACGGTTGGAGTAGAGGGAAAATTCATAGATCCGCTCCCTAGGAGAGTAAAAAATGAATAACTTGCCAAGGGTTCTTTTTTCTTATACATTTGGCATTCTTCAAAGTTTTTTGTTTTTGTCTTTCTTTTCTCTGTTTTGTTTCATCTTTTTTGTCCAAGTTTCGTAAATGAAGTTTCGAATTGATGATCTTTTACGATAATTTTCCCGCTGGATTTTGCAATTTGCAAACATAATTTGGACGTATAGAAACGTGAATTAACTGACTTTTACAAAATCATAAAAACAAAGTTGAATCTTTGCAGCAAAACATATTCATCTCGTTAAGCAGCGAGATTATTAGTTATAAAGTAACTTCGAAACCTACCAGACTTCTCCAAAATGCCCCAGCCTATTACAGTTGCTTCTTCATCTTTGTAAGAACCCGCAGAATCCTCTGGAAGGCAAGCAGACCAGGCATAATCGTTGAACTCAATATCCTCCGCTAGCTCCAATAAGGCAATGTCATTAAAGTGTCGTATCGGTATGGAATAGTTTGGATGAATAATGTATTGTTTGATAGGGATATCTTGTGTTGCATGATTTTCAACTCTGGACAATTGATGTTCACCAACCCGAACCATAAATTGGTTAGCAGAATATCTGCAATTGAAAGTTAGTTATTCATGCTACAGTAAGCTAACTATTAATTAAAGCACTGTTAAAATATAAGTATTAATCTCATAATAATTAAATGAATTTTGGAAATGAACAATAAACGATTTTCGTGACATATAAGTAAATACATATGAATATATCCGTAAAAAAACCTTAAAAATAACCTTAAGAGTGCGTGGGTATTGATGCAAATAATAGATTGAAGCATTATAAAACCAAGCTTTCAGGAGTGACTAACCATTTACAACAACCTTATGGAACTTTGAAAGGTATCACAGGATGAGTAAGCAATTAAAAACAAACTGTTCAAATAAAATAAAGCCACACTTACCGGTTAACACAGTGGCCCGCAGTCAAAATCCAACGTTGAGCAAGGATGGTGCCTCCACAGAAATGTTGCCCTTTCAGTCTGATCGATACCTTAAATACGAAGTGAAAATTTCAGTTTTTAGAAGAATCAGTCCTGCTAATTCTCTTCACCCACTTGGCATCTCTCATAGAAGAGAAGAAATTAAAAAAAATACAGCTTATGTTACAGTGTAGAAATGGTGTAAAGGATCCCAGTAAGATGTTTATGGAAACAGAATAGCACATTGTTAGGGAGAGGTACATAGTTTCAGTTATACCTCTCCTCACCAGCCTGACATATGAAATAAAACTGGAACTAAAATAAACTAAAAACTACACAACTATAAATGTTAAGTTTAAAATGCCCTGCGTCTAATATTACTTTACACTTTTAAAACATTTGTTGAAAGGTATTTGCTTCCAATGAAAAACAAAATCAATAAAAAAAATAAAGAGAGCTGTTAAAAACAGTTAGCTGTGGTAGATGAAGCCCCTTGTACTTTTCAAACTCCATAATAATAATATACCTACATGATCAGCATAATTAAAGTTAACTTGTCTAAGTCAATAAATACTGCGACCGGGAATGGTCTAGTGACTTGCATATTGGACTGTGGGTGAATTATACAAGTAAAAATATTTTGGACAAAGGTTTGTTACTGAATAACTGACTGCCTTCTAGTCAGTAGTTTAAAATTATTGTCGGCTTCAACTTGGCCGCTTAGGTTACTTACGCATAAGGTGCCTTTCAACTTCAAAAATCCCATTCCATAAATGATTATATTTAAAGAAAAATCAATGGAATATGTTCTCCAAATTTTCATGTGTAGTACATTAGGTTTGGTTTGTTTTAAATTTCGCGCCAAGCTACACGAGAACTATCTACGCTAACCTTCCCTAATTTAGCAGTGAAAGACTAGAGTGAAGGCCACCACCCACCACCAATTCTTGGGCTACTCCTTTACCAACGAATAGTGGGATTAACCGTACTTTATAACGCCCCCACAGGGGATTCGAACCCGCGACCCTCAGATTGCGAGTCAAGTGCCCTAACCAAGATCATTAGGAAACTAAACAAATACACGCATAAACGCTTTTAGAATAGTTACAATAAATTGTTTGTTTGAGATGTTTTCGCAAAGCTATACAAAGCATATAATCCTCGCTAATTTTGAGCTGATAGACTAATGTGAAGGTAGACAGTAAACTCCAGCTCTTGGTTTGCCCTTGTCTGGTTGAATAATATGATTTTACCGTCACTTGTATAGTACATCCATGACCTCAAAGTGCAGAGTACGCTAACGTACTAGCCAATGGGCCACGCCCGACCCGAATGATTACGATATGTGTTATTCTAAAACACTCAATAAAACAATTGCAAAAGCTAAGATAAAACTAAAACATTAACATGGAAGTATCTACCAGTTATCTTTTTTAAGCTTAATTGGTAAAATATAAAGCATACTAACAGCCTATATTTAGATAGATTCCAGTATATTTTACATTTCCTCCAACTTACATACTTTTTATCTATGAGTTATAGTTTAGAAGCTGCAAACTTTTACTACAAGAATAAACAATATACAACCAAATGTCAATCTTAGCGATTGATCATTTCTTCTCTACACTAATAGTAGAGAACAATAATGTTTGTCACGCTAACTCTGAACCATTATAATAAGATATATCAAGTGACAATTACTAATTCGTATCGACATTGAAGACGCACTGTATGCAGTTAAATGTAATTCTATGCCTATATCACTATCCCCCTCCCAATGGCAAGTCTCAAGGCTTATAACACTAAAATCCGGGTTTCGATACCTATGATGGGCACAGCATAGATATCCCATTGTGTAGATTTCAGCAAATAAATTGTCACTGATACACTGTTTATCATACTAAATATAACTGTCACGAGACAGTAACATCATCTAAAAATGATGGGTGAGAGACAAGTGCATGTTTTGCACACGTACTGTCTTTCTGCCAAACCTTTCAAAAATTGTTAATTCGACACACATACAAACACAAATATACAAGAAAAAGCTTGTAGTTCATCTTCGTTATAAGGTTATTTGTTTGTGCAGGCTATTTTTCTCTTTTGCACGTCTACACATTAACTTAGTTTCATCTACTATGAAAAATATATTTCGGTTTCTCAAATATTGTATACTGGTGAACTTCCAGTCTATCTGTCCTGCTAAGTATACTATTATGATGTACAGTAAAAACACATGTTTACATAAATATCTTATTGAGCACATTTCTAATGGTATTTACATGTAAAAGAGTGGGAAGATTAATTGATTAACAGTGTGGGCAGCATTACTCCTTGGAATAACAAAATCATGAACTTAAGTCACATGGTTTCACTAAAACACCAGGTGCTCAGTGTTAAGTAGTTGACTTGAGTTAAAATTGCCAAAATGAGCTGATTAAAAATATGTATAAATAGCCATTCAAAACGACATGATTGTAATTAATGCAAGAATAGCGAAAGATACGACCATGACCAACTTGAGTAATGAAGATCGCCTAATTGCTATCAGCACGATTCAAGACAGTCTGTCTGTGAGAGTGAAATATTCTGCTTCAACAATCAGCAGACTAGTCCAGAAACCCAAGAAACCGGCTCTGAGAGGGACAGGCCACGTCCTCGAAGAAAGAAAATAGCCACATCCGCCCAGGTTCGTCACATCCACCTGCAAGCCAATACGGAAGTGTCGATGTTTCAGCACGACAGTGCTAGAACATAGAGTGCAGATGACAATGACACAATTTCAAGAAAACAATGTCAAGGTCTTGCCGTGGCAACCTTTTTCTTGTGCCTCGAGTCCAATAGAGCATCTGTGGGGCAAACTCGTCGATACCATCAACAGGAGACAACAGCGACAAACAAACCTCCACTAACTGACTGCAGCAGCACACGAAGAGTGGGGGAATATTATCTCACTGCACTATATCAGATATATGTGTCAACGCTGCCAGGGTTGCTTAACGCTATGAGAGGTCATACCCGATATTAAGCTTATAGTATTTTCATTCTGACAGTGTGTCACGTTTCATACTGAAAACTTATCATGTTTCTTTGATCTGCAGCTTTGTGTGTACATTTTCTATAATTTTGTCTGATATTTCTGTTTACAGTATATGATCACATCCAATAGACCTGAGTTTTGTGTTACAGAGAAAGTGTATATTTCTAAATAGTATAGCTTAAAATTAATTCTAGAGATATAATCCAACTTTGCTGTATTTTGGAGTACTTTATTAAATTATCAACGTATATAAATAAGCCAGAAAAAAGGGACAAAAATAAGAAAACATTCCCCGACTAATTGAAAGTGTTAATATAAAAAAGGAAAAATTCCGAGTGACGATTTCATTACAATTTCACCTCAGTTCTTTCTAGTGGCCCGGCATGGCCAGGTGGATAAGGCGCTCGACTCACAATCTGAGGGTCGCGGGTTCGAATCCGCATACCACCAAACATGCTCGCCCTTTCAGCCGTGGGGGCGTTATAATGTGACGGTCAATCCCACTATTCGTTGGTGAAAGAGTAGCCCAAGAGTTGGCGGTGGGTGGTGATGACTAGCTGCCTTCTCTCTAGTCTTACACTGCTAAATTAGGGACGGCTAGCGCAGATAGCCCTCGTGTAGCTTTGCGCGAAATTCCAAAACAAACAAACAAACAATCTTTCTAGTGTTCCTCAAACGACTTGAATGACGTTAAAGTAAGTCACTCAATAGAAAAAAAATACATTGATCCATTGACTTGGCTATATAATTGAAGTGAATATTGTAGAATTAATTTGTTAATTTGCTTGTTCGTATGCGCAAAGCTACACAATAAGCTATGTGTTTTGTGCTCGAAGCTGGTAACAAACCACGAATTTTAGCGCTTTAAGCTTTCCAGTTAGTTTAATTAATTCATTATGGTGAGTACGACAGGACATATATGAAATAGTTCTACTTTTGTTAATATACGTACCATTGAAGGGAACTCTCCATCGTAAGCCTCTTCACCACCAGCAATTTTGCCACTACGTACTGTTTGTTTCCCGCATGAAACACCGATGACTTGAAAACACGAAAAAATATTATAAAGTAATATTTACAGCTTAAAGAATTGAATTTGATGGAAAATAAATATGGTTATTACCATAGTGAAGTGCTATTGTCAACGTGATAAAAGTAAAATCAATAAATACCCTTATCTTAACCAGTCCTATTCCCATATTATTGTCAGTGTTAAAAATAAATATGGTTATTACCATAGTGAAGTGCTATTGTCAACGTGATAAAAGTAAAATCAATAAATACTCTTATTTTAACCAGTCCTATTCCCATATTATTGTCAGTGTTAAAAATAAATATGGTTATTACCATAGTGAAGTGCTATTGTCAATATTATAACAGTAACATCACTAAATACCCTTATCTTAACCAGTCCTATTCCCAGTATTATTGTCAGTGTTAAAAATTCATATTTATAATTATATACTTTACAAAGTGTTGATGTAAATTATTTATATTATGCTTTTAATAATTGCATTTTTCAATAAGGTTGAATGCTCAAAATTAATTGCATATTCATAATAAATCCCTTGTTCAGTGACATAAACTTAAGCATCTTTTTAAGACCTTGCAAAAACGTTATCTATTTATTTGGTGAAAATCAAGGAATACAACAATAAAAATACTATACTGTTAATATTTTTAAAGATGTTTGCAAAACGTGATAGTAGCATGAGTTAGAAAAATATATTTAATGGAATACGACTCAAATGCTGGGTTTAAATGGTAAAATTAATCATTGAATTATTTAATTATTGTTGACAGTCATTGTTGCGTAAGTTCTATATCAAATTTCAGTGTCCGGTAAACGTCAGAAACTGAGATAGTTTCCATATAAGAAAGGCTTTTAAAAATCAACCTTCTCACGCTCTAGGTCTATTTGTAAGTAGCCTGAATAGTAAAGTCCTCTTCAGTCCATTGTATTAATATTAAAATATTCGACATATCTAAGACTAACAGTAGGAATATGCGTCAAGAATAATTTGTTACCTACCAACTAACACAACTCAAACAGTTATTTTCTAGATTTACCCATCACTATTCAGTTCTTCAAGTTATTGTTAAAACAATTAATATTCAAACTACTTACCTGCCGTTTGAGCAGGGAAAATAATGGTCGAGAAGGCAACCCAGAATGTCATTATATAACAGCCTTCTTCATTTAGTTTCACCATCTTTGTTTTGAAGACAATCACAAAAAACATTCACAACTGTGTAGGCTGAAACTGGCAACAGATCACGATGGACTAGTGGACTACCCTATTTAAATCCTGTTATGAATAGTAGTGGCCAGTGAAGACCAATGATTATCTCAACGTCCCAGTGACCTGAATAAGTATACATCCCACGAGAACGGGAGGGGTCAGTAAAAGCAAAGTGATGCAGCAAGAGGACATCTCACCTTTTTCCAAAACGCCCCAAAACTTGTTTAATACCATATTATAATTACATTCATTGTTTATTGGAGAGTTTTGTCGGTAACCCGCTTGAAAATGTCACTTTCACCAAAGTGGGTTATTGGAGGTCATCCATAATCACCACACAGCTTTCATTTTTAATTAACAGTTTCTAGGTTATAGTAGTAGGCTTCGTTATATAAATGTTCACCTAATTTATTTCGTAGAAAAATCTTATGAGGGGGCGTATTAATGAAAAATAGGTGAAAACAACATATGAATACTAATTTTCTAGTAAAAGGAAATCGAAAATTAAAAACCAAATATGCATAAAAATGACAAAAATAAACCAGAATTTTGTGTTTCAGATGCATAAGTGAAACTTTACGGTTTCACTAAAATCATAATGCTTTAAGTTATGTCATATAAAATCTAAATAGAATTGTAACTAATGTTTGAGGAAAATGAGTAAACGGTATTTTAATGTGTCATGTTTCATTTCACAGAGACAATTAACAAAGCAAGTTTCGCCATAATCCTAGAGAAATGTACTGTGTATATGTCTCATTTGTTATAGCCAACAAAATTATTGTTCATACCATTTAAAACTCTACACTAATTATATATACGTCTAAGGAGCTAGAATGACAAATTATTCATTTTGGTGTATGCGAGCAAAAAGACATTTATATAGTGGCTATAATTTTATACATAGACTTAGTTAAAAATGTGAAGACAGAAACGATAATTGAATTTATTACGCTGGGGAAAAATAGTTGTATTAAGTGTTTTCTTCAGACCCATTACAAGTTTGTGTCAATCAGCAATGAACTTCTGCCGATGTCTATCTTGTAAACCTCAATTTCAATGCGTTCCATAGAAAATATATAACATATATATATATATATACAGCGAAAAATTCATCGCGATAACATTCATTGATCCAAAGTGTGGCAGAGTTGAAATAATAACAGGATTTGGTTAACAAATATTCAATGGTTCTTATACGTGAACAAATATTAAAATACCTTATGGATTTGGAAACGAAAGTAATGATGAAATAATACTACTCTATTATAAACCCAAAATTTTAGTAAAGAAAACATTTATTACAATTATATAAAATATATTTTTTCCCTTTGGTAAAGGAAAAAAATTAGTAACACTGACTTTCATATAGATTATAAACGAACCCTATAAAAAAGAGAGTGGTAAATATATCTTGTAAAACATATATTTCTCACTTTGAGAAATGTGAATATAGTTGTCAGCAAATCTGCTCTTAAACACAAAGCAGAAGTTTCGAATTTTTACCTTTCAAATGGCATAGAAAATATGTAAACGTAGTGTCTTTTAAAATATAATAAAATATATTTGTAATAATTACGCACAGTTTTCTACATAGAAATTGTTCAAATTATGCAAGACAAATATTTCAAAATTAATCACAGATGACATTGTGTACATACACATAAACACACATATATATAAGTAAGAGAACTGATTACCAGAGTAATTTACGAGTGATGGTTCGTGAGTGTGTGTGTGTGTTTGAAGAGGGGGGTTCCACAACTTGAATAAAATTTTATTAATTGATTTTATAGAGAACTTTGTTAGTAGGATGTAAAGCGCAAAGCTATAAAATAGGCTAAATTTTTTGTGTCATTGGGATGTTACAAAATACACGGGATAAACAATATTCCAGTGGTAGTGTTCCACATAGGTATTCAGTTGGCACTTGAGTGATATTCTGTGTTTGGCGTAAAAACAAATTGCAGACAAGTGCACCACTAAGGAAAAACACAAGCTACTAGCCATGAGGTATATTAGTCAGTCCTATCTCCCACA